TTTCGTGAAATTGGCCAAATTGCCAATTTCTGACCACTATTGGGTAGTTCAAATCGGTAAATGGGCGGTTTCTTCTACTCAACTGATAGATGAAATGGAGTTCTAAAGAAATAGCTATGAGTTTGGTCAACTGGAACAACGGAATTAGCTAAAAACAGGGCTCAAAGTCGGCGAAATCGCCAATACATAAATGTCGCCGAGACCGCTAACTTCGCGGTAGTGTAATTCCGTGAGTTTTCGACCAAATTTCGAACTTTTGGTGTCATTACCATTGGGAAAAGATTCTCTATCATTTCATAAGAAAAAATAATTTTTTTTTTTTTTTCAAAAATTTTGCGACATAGAATGACAGTTTCAGAAAAGGGCCTGCGACAGTCAAAGGGTTAAAGAACACTACAAACACGTTTTAGTAATTTTTTTTAAAGAATAATGAACACAGTTAATAAAATTGTTATTTACCTTATGATTTCCCATAACCCTTAAACTGTCAAACAGATTTACGTTCACATTCGTAGTGCTCCAAAAGTAGATCTTCGTTTTTTTTACATATTTTCAAATATAACAAAAAAAAAAAAGTAGATCAAAGTTTTTTTTACATGTTTTCAAATAAAAAAAGATCTACTTTTTTTACATACTTTCAAATGTAGAAAAAACGTAGATCTATGTTTGGACAGTTTAAGGGTTAAAAATGCCTTAAGTGTGACTAGTTGGAGGAGGAGGGTGAGGAGGAAGGTGAGGCAGCTGGTGACAATGTGTGGGGCTTCTTTGTTGACACACCAGAAGTAGAGGGAGGCGACTCTTCTGTTGAGGATTCAAGAGTTTTGCATTCCTTGATTTTAGCTAGAAACTGATCCAAAGTCCCTTGAATTATGCACTTCTTCCTCTCATTTAAGATAGTCCTATATGGGAAGAATAGTCACCAATGCCGTTCATTATTTTTGTGAAACGCTTGGCATTTGGGTCTTGTGCCCCAAATATTGCAAGGCACTTGGAAAAGTAATAAAAACCTTATTGCATTTTGGCTATGGTGAATTTCCTTTGTTCTGGTTCTGGAAGCTCTTCCTCTTCGCGGCGCTGTTCTTCCAGCAGCAGTGCCACCATGAAACAAAATGGCACAGCTACATAATGGCGGACATTTGTTTACAGATTTTTGTTGTAAATATTTTGTTTTTAATGTGTTTTTATTGTATTTTAAATTTTTTTAGCTTTTATCTTTTATTGTTAATTTTTGTGTGTTTTATTTATTTTAACCCTTAAACTGTCCAAACGTAGATCTATGTTTGCATGCGTAGTGCTCCAACCTTGATTTTCTCCATAAGAAAGCATGTAAAAAAAAAAAGTAGATCTACGTTCGGAGCGATGTGCGAGCGAACATAGATGTACAGTTGGACAGGTTAACCCTTTGACTGTTTCGGTCATATATATACAGTGGACCCTCAACCAGTGATATTAATCCTTTGACTGTTGCGGCCGTATATATACGTCTTACGAGGTACCGTGTTTGACGTATATATACTCATAAATTCTAGCGGCTTCAAATCAAGCAGGAGAAAGCTGGTAGGCCCACATGTGAGAGAATGGGTCTGTGTGGTCAGTGTGCACCATATAAAAAAAATCCTGGAGCACACAGTGCATAATGAGAAAAAAAAACTCCGACCGTTTTTTTTTTAATTAAAATGCCGACTTTGTGGTCTACTTTCGTATAGTATTTATGGTTGTATTCTCGTTTTCTTGGTCTCATTTGATAGAATGGAAAACATATTATAGAAATAGTGGTGATTTTCATTGATTTTACTATAAAAAGAACCTAGAAATGGAGCTCAAAGTAGGGGAAATGTTTGATTTTTGCCAATGTTCAAAAGTAAACAAATGATGCCATTGTCCAATAAATGTCCAACTAGCCATTCTAATATGCAGTCATCAATGGATTGATGTTATTTATACAATTATTACAGTATTGCAGTAGTCTGCATAATAGTAAGTCTTCTATTTTTTGTTTGAATAAAAATTCAAAATAGAAAGCAAGAGTAACATCAGAGGGGCCTGGAGACATGACTGATATGCAAAGAAAATGTTATTTTAGAGCCAGGAATGTCTGCATTGTTCATTCTGGACCTTATTTTGAAATTGTCATATTTTTTAGTTTTCGTGAAATTGGCCAAATTGCAAATTTCTGACGACATTATTAGGTAGTTGAAATCGGTAAATGGGCAGTTTCTTGTACTCAATCGATAGAAAAAATGGAGTTCTAAAGAAATAGCTATGAGTTTGGGCGACTGGAACAATGGAATTAGCCAAAAATAGGGCTCAAAGTGCGCGAAATCGCCGATTTGTAAACAGCGCCGAGGTCGCTAACTTCACGAGAGCATAATTCCGTCAGTTTTCCATCAAATTTCGTTTTTTTGGTGTCATTACAATCGGGAAAAGATTCTCTATCATTTCATAAGAAAAAATAATTTTTTTTTTTTTTAAATTTTGCGACACCATGAGACACCTCAGGATTGGGGGTTGCGACAGTCAAAGGGTTAATCCATTCCTGAGAGCTCATCGTTAATCGAAAATATCGTTAGTCGAGTTAATTTTCCCCATAAGAAATAATGGAAATCAAATTAATCCGTGCAAGACACCCAAAAGTATTGAAAAAAAAATTTTTTACCACATGAAATATTAATTTTAATACACACAAACTGAAGAAGACATGCACAGTTACATGACACTTACCTTTATTGAAGATCTGGTGATGACTGATGGGATGGGAGGAGGGGAGAGTGTTGATGGTGTTAGCGTTTAGAAGGGGAATCCCCTTCCATTACAACTTGAGGTGGCAAGTCCTTTTTCGGGGTTACTTCCCTTCTTCTTTTAATGCCGCTAGGACCAGCTTGAGAGTCACTGGACCTCTGTCGCACAACATATCTGTCCTTAGAGGCCTGTACCTCCCATTCCTTTATGACATTCCTAAAGTGTTTCACAACATTGTCAGTGTCACAATTAAACACTTGTTCGGGTTTCAATTCTTCACTGTCTATGTACTCCTTGAATTCCTGCACATATTTTTCAGCTGCTTTTTGGTCCAAACTGGCAGCCTCACCATGCCTTATCACACTATGTATGCCACTACGATTCTTAAATCTCTCAAACCAACCTTTGCTGGCCTTAAATTCACTCACATCACTAGTTGCTGGCATTTTTCTAATTAAATCCTCATGCAACTTCCTAGCCTTTTCACATATGATCGCTTGAGAGATGCTTTCTCCTGCTATCTGTTTTTCGTTTATCCACACCAATAACAGTCTCTCAACATCTTCTATCTCTTGCAATCTCAGTTTCGAAAACATAGTTGCACCTTTGGCAAGAACAGCTTCCTTGATTGCCGTTTTCTTGGCCACAATAGTAGCGATGGTTGATTGGGGTTTTGTGTACAACCTGGCCAGCTCGGAGACACACACTCCACTTTCATACTTAGCAATGATCTCTTTCTTCATATCCATAGTAATTCTCACCCTTTTTGCTGTAGGGTTGGCACTAGAAGCTTTCTTGGGGCCCATGGTGACTTATTTTGCAGTGCAATCACTAAAAAGGCTGTGATAATATGAAATGTTCCGATTATATGCTTGGAAGCGACCGCGGTGGCTGGCTGGCTTGTAAACACTGGCCAGAAGTGGACGCGTCTCAGACGGAAGGAATAGTGTTGGTGTGTTGGTCGAGTTTTTTTCAAATCAAGCAGAAAGCTGGTAGGCCCACATGTGAGAGAATGGGTCTGTGTGGTCAGTGTGCGCAGTATACAAAAAATCCTGCAGCACGCAGTACATAACGAGAAAAAAAAACTCCAACCGTGTTTTTGGATTAAAACGCCGAATTTGAAGTGTATTTTCGTATAGTATTTATGGTTGTATTCTTGTTTTCTTGGTCTCATTTGATAGAATGGAAAATATATTATAGAAATAGAAGTAATTTTGATTGGTTTTACTATGAAAAGGATCTTGACATGGAGCTCAAATTGGCAGAAATGTTCGATTTTTGCTGATGTTCAAGAGTAAACAAATGATGTTATTGTCCAACAAATGTCCTACTAGCCATTCTAATACGCAGTCAGAAATGGGTTGATGTTATTTATACAATTATTATAATATTGCAGTAGTCTACATAACAGTAAATCTTCTATTTTTTGTGTGAATAAAAATTCAAAATAGAAAGCAAGAGTATTGTAACAGGGGCCTGGAGACGTGACTGGTGAGCAGAGAAAATGTTATTTTAGTGCCAGGAATGTCTGCATTGTTCATTCTGGACCCTATTTTGAAATTTACATATTTTTTAATTTGCATGAAATTGACCAAATTGCCAATTTCTGACCACTTTATTGGGTAGTTGAAATCAGTAAATGGGTGGTTTCTTGTACTCAGTTGATATAACAAATGGAGTTCTAGAGAAATAGCTATGAGTTTGGTCGACTGGAACAATGGAATTGGCTGAAAATAGGGTTCAAAGTGGGCAAAATCGCCGATGTGTAAATGTCGCCGAGGTCGCTAACTTCGCAAGAGCGTAATTCCGTAAGTTTTCCATCAAATTTTGGACTTTTGGTGTCATTATCATTGGGAAAAGATTCTCTTTTATTTCATAAGGAATTTTTTTTTTTTTTTCAAATATTTTGCAACACCAGGAGACACTTCAGGATTTGGGGTTGCGACAGTCAAAGAGTTAAGGGTTAAATGTATTTTTAAGGAAAAATGTATTTATTTCACATCCTTTTATTATGATATAGGTGATGTTGCTGAGTGATGTAATGTCAGATGTAATGATATTCGCTGAACGCCATTACATTCGGACATAATGATGTTAGCTGAACATCATTACATCCGAAAAGTGACTTAAAGGCAAATATGATATATGCCAAAATGACGTAAAGCAGGGTATTACTGTACTGTAGTTGCTCATTATTTACTGAAACTATATACCTGTACCAGATTTTACTAGCTTAAACAGTTTTATATTCTTCTGCACAGATTAAAATGCAGAAAAAGTGATACAAAGCACTTGAACAAGAAAATAGTAATAGACAATAAAGATCAGGAAGAAATCAACAAAGAAATCCTAAAGGCTGCTGAAGACGATGAAGAGGATGAAGAGAATGCTGATGATCATGACTCAGAAATTCGTGAAGGAATTGTGAAGGAGGAAAAGTCATCAGATGCAGCTAACCAGCGTGAGAAATTTGAAGATTGTGAGAAAAAGGAATATACCTGTGACTGTGGAAAGGTTAGTTTTAGTATCCATTATCTATGTCTTTCATGTAAGACAAGTTGGATCTAATTGAAACAAGGCCTTCCATCCCCATATCTTGTAAACACACGTATGATACAGTGAACTGAAATGTACAATTTTTTCCTTACTGGAACAGTATTTCAAAATATTCACTATGCATGCCATACTGCTTCTTTTATCTGAGCCCTACAGCTGTTCTTTTTTGCCTAGTTTGCAAAAACAATACTGTACTACCTGTACTACCACAAAACCTCTTTTACCCCCTCACTCCATCCTTTCCTAGGATGACTCCTACCCCTCCTTCCCTCCAAGTCATCCTATTTTGCTCCATCCCTTCTAAATAACAAAACTTAATATTGCAGTTACTGAATGCTTACAATTTGTCATACTGTTCTTATTTCATGGAAAAAGCCAAGAAATCAAATAACAGTATTCAGTTTTCAGTTTTTCCTCTGTATTTGGAAGATCCAAAATGCATGACATGACACCCTTCGCACATGGCATCTTGAGCAACTACACATGTTACCAGCATCTTGAGTTGACCTTTATTAAAAAGTTATAAGATTTTAGTTTCACTTTACACAGATGGGTGAAAAAAATTAGTGTGTCAGAGAAGAATAAGCTGTGAAGTGTAGGGGGAATTTTAGACAATTGCAAGTACCATCCGACTTGCGACCAAGCTTGTTTCCAACCAACCGGTCATAAGTCAAAATGGACGTAAGTCGAACCTTACTACTGACTATCAACATCATATTTTTGTAATGATTTTATTTTATTGTTTTATTTTGGTATTTCATTCTTTACTTTACTTTTTATGCTGTTAGTAATGCATTTTATACTGAAAGGTTTAGGGTAAACACTCTGTACAACACAAACAGTTCTTTATTTCCCAGAAATTTGGCATACAAAACATGGTCGTAAGTCGAGTAATCTTATGTCGAGCAGGTTGTAAGTCGGATGGTAGGTGTAATGTGAAAAAAAGCAGGTAATCATGACTCATGATTAACATATTATATTTGAAAATGAGAAATGGGATAAATGTTATAAATAATAGGTAATGAGATATATACAGTGGTACCCCAAGTTTCGAACTTTCTTCGTTCCAGAAGACTGTTTGAGTCCTGTTACTGAATGAATTTTTTCCCATAAGGAATAATTTAAATTAGATTAGTCCGTTTCAGACCCTCAAAAATACATTTACAAAAGCACTTACAATAATACACTTACATAATTGGTCAAGTTGGGAGTACAGTGGACCCCCGCATAACGATGGCATCACATAGCGATTATTTCGCATACCGCTTACTTTAATTGCAAAAATTTTGCCTCACATACCGCTTAAAAACCCGCTTACCGATTTTCGTCCGAGACGCGCTCACATGTTCCGCCGGTGGCATTGTTTACCAGCCAGCCTCCGCGGTAACATCCAAGCATACAATCGGAATATTTCGTATTATTACAGTGTTTTCGGTGCTTTTTCTGGAAAATAAGTGACCATGGGCCCCAAGAAAGCTTCTAGTGCCAACCCTACAGCAATAAGGGTGAGAATTACAATAGAGATGAAGAAAAAGATCATTGATAAGTATGAAAGTGGAGTGCATGTCTCCGAGCTGGCCAGGTTGTATAATAAACCCCAATCAACCATCGCTACTATTGGTGGTACAGCTGCTGCTGCTGCTGCACTGTCAGCTGCTGCTGCTGCTGCACTGTCAGCTGCTGCTGCTGCTGTAGCACCGTTGTTGGTGTGGCTTATTGAGAATACCAAGAAACAATTAACCCCAGAGGATTTGCCACCCAGGATAACCCAAAAAAGTCAGTGTCATCGAAGACTGTCTAACTTATTTCCATTGGGGTCCTTAATCTTGTCTCCCAGGATGCAACCCACACAAGTCGACTAACACCCAGGTGAACAGGGAAAAATGCCTGGAACTAGTGCTCATATTGGTGAATTTAAAGCCAGCAAAGGTTGGTTTGAGAGATTTAAGAATCGTAGTGGCATACACAGTGTGATAAGGCCTGTTCTGGAAGAAAATGCCAAACAGGACCTACAGTACTCAGGAGGAAAAGGCACTCCCAGGACACAGTGTCTCATCAGTCATTGCTGCATCTTCAATAAAGGTAAGTGTCATTTATTCTTCATTTAGAAGACTAGTACATGCACAATATATACTGTGCATGTACTACTCTACTATTGTGCATGTATCCTTCTCTTTGTGTGTGGGAAAATGTATATTTCATGTGGTAAAATTTTTTTTTTCATACTTTTGGGTGTCTTGCACGGATTAATTTGATTTCCATTATTTCTTATGGGGAAAATTCATTCACATAGCGATTATTTCGCATAACAATTACCCCTCTTGCACGGATTAAAATCGTTAACCGGGGGTCCACTGTAGTTCGAAACTCGGGGTACCACTGTACTTGCAAATATTTTGTCATTTACTAAACTGTTTTACGTGAGCATGAGTGAGCGTGTTAGACAGGAGTGAATGGAGACAAATCGTTTTTAGGACTTGACGTACTGTTGGAGTGTAAGCAAGATAACATTTATGAAGGGATTCAGGGAAACCGGCAGGCCGGACTTGAGTCCTGGAGATGGGAAGTACAGTGTCTGCACTCTGAAGGAAGGGTGTTAATGTTGCAGTTTTATAACTGTAGTGTAGACATGCCTCTGGCAAGACAGTGATGGCGTGAATGATGAAGGTTTTTCTTTTTTGTGCAACCCTGCCTTGGTGGGAGGCAGCCAGTGTGTTAAAAAAAAATGTACAGTACAGTATTTATGTTATGTATGCTCTCTTTGCATATTCAGCATAGAAGGAACGTTATTATAATGCATATACTTAACCATCCTATTGAATCTTCTTTTTTTTTTTTTTTTTTTTTTTTGCAGACTGTGAAAGGTCTCGATATGTTTGTGGAGCATCAGCTACGTGAAGGATGCAGAATCAAGACCAATGAGTACCCTTGCAAGTATTGTGGCTCTGTATTTGCTGAAAAAAAATTGTTGATTGTCCACAAGAAAGCATGCATTGAAGCTTCTTTGATTAATGGAGCTCATGAGTGTGACATCTGTGGCAGAAGGTATGCTTAATCTTAATTTCTTCTATAGTGTTGTATTTATTTACTATAATGGAATTACAGTACAATCTTTATGTGAAAAATTAAACCATTTCAAAATTTTTTTATTAGGAGTGCTGTTTGTGAAAAAGTGCAGAAATTGAGTGGCAGGTAGTCTCCAGGCCTGGCTCCCATTCTTAGGGTAACTGGTGTCAGCATTGCAAGCCCTATTGAAGTTGTCACAGAAATGAAAAATCACCTTGTCCATCTCTCTCTCATTAGCTCCATCTATGCCCCTCATTTCTTTCCTCAAAGTCACAACAGACGAATCAACCTAAATGTTTGAATAATATGTCCAGTTGCAAATTGGAATGGTGGTTTGCTCTAATTTCTTTAACATGTTGTGCTTTCACCTTAAGACTGTTTTCCCCCTCTAACTTTTTTCCTTAGGGTGCTTGTTATTTTTCATTATCTTATGTTTCTTCCATTTTAATTTTTTTGTATGTGCTTATTGAGGAGAGTTATAAATTTTATCCAGAAATATTTGTTTCATTAAGCAAGCATTGGTAGCAGCTCGCTTGCAAACCATACCCCGGCCGGGATTGAACCCGCGGTCAGAGAGTCTCAAAACTCCAGACCGTCGCGTTAGCCACTAGACCAGCTAGCCACAATAAGATTCGTCCAACTAGGTATATTTCTACACCATAGGAAGGTTAGCACAGGCACCACTGTGACCACAAATGCAAGTTTTTACAGACGAATCTCCAGCTAGCGTGGCAGTGACGAACTCTAGCTCAAGTCCCCTCACTGCCGTCAACATGACTCACGAAATCGTAATGACACGATTGCAAACAAACCATACCTAGTTGGATGAATCTTATTGTGGCTAGCTGGTCTAGTGGCTAACGCGACGGTCTGGAGTTTTGAGACTCTGACCGTGGGTTCAATCCCGGCCGGGGTATGGTTTGTTTGCAATCGTGTCATTACGATTTCGTGAGTCATGTTGATGGCAGTGAGGGGACTTGAGCTAGAGTTCGTCACTGCCACGCTAGCTGGAGATTCGTCTGTAAAAACTTGCATTTGTGGTCACAGTGGTGCCTGTGCTAACCTTCCTATGGTGTAGAAATATACCTAGTTGGACGAATCTTATTGTGGCTAGCTGGTCTAGTGGCTAACGTGACGGTCTGGAGTTTTGAGACTCTCTGACCGCAGGTTCAATCCTGGCCGGGGTATGGTTTGTTTGCAATCGTGTCATTACGATTTCGTGAGTCATGTTGACGGCAGTGAGGGGACTTGAGCTAGAGATCGTCACTGCCACGCTAGCTGGAGATTCGTCTGTAAAAACTTGCATTTGTGGTCACAGTGGTGCCTGTGCTAACCTTCCTATGGTGTAGAAATATACCTAGTTGGACGAATCTTATTGTGGCTAGCTAGTCTAGTGGCTAAAGCGACGGTCTGGAGTTTTGAGACTCTCTGACCGCGGGTTCAATCCCGGCCGGGGTATGGTTTGTTTGCAATCGTGTCATTACGATTTCGTGAGTCAAGCTCACTTGCACATCAGTCAAACCAACTTGTAAAATTCTCTTCCATGTTTTTGTGTGTCTTCACGCTCTGTAATATAGAACACTTAAGGTATTTGAAATGTCAGGTAAACTTTGCATATGTCCACTTCCAAGTGGGGCATTACAGGTTTACACTTCTCTTGAGGCTGGTGAGGGATTCTTGATCCAAGGAATTAGATCTGTTCTCCTCTTCCTTTTATTGAACCTGAATGCCTTTCATTTCCCAGGTGCTGTATAATCCTTGTGGATTCAGCACTCCCCTCCTAAATAAAACAATATACCTGGAGAGGGGAGACCTGGAGAGGGTTTCAGGGATCAACACCCCAGCAGCCCAGTCTGTGACCAGGCCTTATGGTGGATCAGGGCCTGATCAACCAGGCTGGAATTGAAATAAAGTTTTAAAGACAGTCTTTGTGTTCTTCATTATATACAATATACAGTAGACTGTTGGTTAATATGCGACCTGTTAACATGTTTTCATTTTAACACGGTTGCAGATTGCAGCATATTTTTGGTGACCACACCATATTAATCAGTTTACATGGAAGAGTACACATGGAGGAAAATGTGGCACATCTTGTGGTGAGTGTATGGGAGAGTCCATTGTTTAATGGGGGAGGGCTACCTAATGTACACAGCCTCCCTCACTTCAGGAGTATAGGAGAGTACAAATAGGAAGCGCATCTATATTGCGCTCATCAAACGGAGGATCAAGCTTCCACCTTGTCATGCACTGAATGACCCACATGGGTTTAGCACTTTAATATTTATTTATTATAATTATTATTAGCCCTCATTTCAGTGCTCCATTTGCACACATCTAATACCATACCTCAGCTACACACCTCTGCTATACTGCTTGCCTCCATTCATTCTAACACACACACACACCCAGCAACCTCCACTCACACAGTGTCTCCACTGTTATACAGTCACCCAAATCATCCTAACCAGCAACCTCCAACCACATAACCCACCCATACAATTTCCCCAGTGGCACATGCCTACACCTTCACCATTCCCCCATGACCACATTCCTCAACTGCCTCCAGGCTAGGGATGTATCAGATGTGAAAATTTAGATATGGGGGATGCGGATGTGTATTCGGATGTCTTACCTACTTATTTTGCGGATGCGGATGCAAATGCGGATATCTGCTTACAGTACAATTCGGACGCGGATGCGGATTACGGATGTCGCATCTTGATATCCGCTGGATTCGGATGCGGATGCGGATTTTGCAGGATAGTCATAGAACACCTTTTTTTTTTACCGTATGACAAATACTCTTGTTGAGTGAGGGACTGAACACATCGATTCCAGGCTGAGGGACTGATTACCTGAAACTCCTCTCCTTATGCCTTCCTGCTTTGTATTGGACTGATGAAGCCACTGTGTGGCAATACGTTTCTTCAATAAAGATTCCCATATGTTGCATAAGTGTCTCAATTCTTCAAGCTGTCAGTTTCCAAACCATTTATCACATGCTCATTTGTATTTAACACCATTTCAACAATTTCACCATCACTCAAGGAATGCACAGCAGGTGGAGTTATGTAGAGATGACTGATGCTGAAGAATTGAGACATGCAACACATGGGAATCTTTATAGAAGAAACGTTTTGCCACACAGTGGCTTCATCAGTCCCATACAAAGTGGAAATGGGTAAGGAGAGAAGTTTGAGGTAGTCAGTCCCTCAACCTGGAATCGCTGTGTTTAGTCCATCATTCTTGTAGGAAGTGCAGCATAGGGCCAGAGAGGTGGCTTATATACTGTCGGTTTTCAAAACCATTCATCACATCTGTCAGACACTGCAACATCATGGGATCTTGGTACAAAGACTTCAACGCTTGCCCAACCTTTGGACGGCGACCTACTTACACTAGTGGCAGGTCCCACTGTGATCCCGCCTCCTCCTGCTTCAACTCATCTGACTGCAGTATATAAGCCACCTCTCTGGCCCTATGCTGCACTTCCTACAAAAGTGATGGACTGAACACATCGATTCCAGGTTGAGGGACTGATTACCTCAAACTTTTCTCCTTACCCATTTCCACTTTCTATTGGACTGATGAAGCCACTGTGTGGTGAAACGTTTCTTCTATAAAGATTCCCTGCTGTATAGCCCTTGTGGCTTAGTGCTTCTTTTTGATTATAATAATAATAATAATAATAATAATAATATAAGAGATTTGGTAATAAGTAATACATATTTTATGAAAAAGAGGATAAATAAATATACAAGGTATGATGTAGCATGTAATGAAAGTAGTTTGTTAGATTATATATTAGTGGATAAAAGGTTGATGGGTAGGCTCCAGGATGTACATGTTTATAGAGGGGCAACTGAAATATCGGACCATTATTTAGTTGTAGCTACAGTTAGAGTAAGAGGTAGATGGGACAAGCGGAAGGTGGCAAGAACAAGTAAGAGAGAGGTGAAAGTGTATAAACTAAGGGAGGAGGAAGTTCGGGTGAGATATAAGCGACTATTGGCAGAAAGGTGGGCTAGTGCAAAGATGAGTAGTGGGGGGGTTGAAGAGGGTTGGAATAGTTTTAAAAATGCAGTATTAGAATGTGAGGCAGAAGTTTGTGGTTATAGGAGGGTGGGGGCAGGAGGAAAGAGGAGTGATTGGTGGAATGATGAAGTAAAGGGTGTGATAAAAGAGAAAAAGTTAGCTTATGAGAGGTTTTTACAAAGCAGAAGTGTTATAAGAAGAGTAGAGTATATGGAGAGTAAAAGAAAGGTGAAGAGAGTGGCGAGAGAGTGCAAAAGGAGAGCAGATGATAGAGTGGAAGAGGCACTGTCAAGAAATTTTAATGAAAATAAGAAAAAATTTTGGAGTGAGTTAAACAAGTTAAGAAAGCCTAGGGAAAGTATGGATTTGTCAGTTAAAATCAGAGTAGGGGAATTAGTAGATGGGGAGATGGAGGTATTAGGTAGATGGTGAGAATATTTTGAGGAACTTTTAAATGTTAAGGAAGAAAGGGAGGCGGTAATTTCATGCACTGGCCAGGGAGGTATACCATCTTTTAGGAGTGAAGAAGAGCAGAATATAAGTGTGGGGGAGGTACGTGAGGCATTACGTAGAATGAAAGGAGGTAAAGCAGCTGGAACTGATGGGATCATGACAGAAATGTTAAAAGCAGGGGGGGATATAGTGTTGGAGTGGTTGGTACTTTTGTTTAATAAATGTATGAAAGAGGGGAAGGTACCTAGGGATTGGCGGAGAGCATGTATAGTCCCTTTATATAAAGGGAAGGGGGACAAAAGAGATTGTAAAAATTATAGAGGAATAAGTTTACTGAGTATACCAGGAAAAGTGTACGGTAGGGTTATAATTGAAAGAATTAGAGGTAAGACAGAATGTAGGATTGCGGATGAGCAAGGAGGTTTCAGAGTGAGTAGGGGATGTGTAGATCAAGTGTTTACATTGAAGCATATATGTGAGCAGTATTT